AGACGGGCGTCCAGAGTGTTATCAACACGGATCTTGCCATCGTTGCAACTTAGCACAACACCACCAGCCTTGCCCTTGAGAGGGTTCTTCTTGTCGAGCTTGAGCACAACGGCCTTGGTAGTGCCCTTAGCCTGCTTGGCGATCTCAGCGGCATAGATCTTCTGAGCCTCAGGGATGACAGCCTCAACAAGAGCCATGTCCTCCTGACGGCAACGAATGGTGACCTCAGGCTCAAGAAGAGAGAAACAGCCCTGAACTATGAGGTTGGTGACAGTGGTCTTATAAGCAGGAGTCTTAGCATAAGCAGAAAGCTCGGCGATGGCATCATCAACTGCCTTGTGGAGCATAGCATCACGCTCACCGATCTTCTGAAGTCGAGAACGGTTGATGGCAGTGGAACGAGCGATAGCTCTCTGAGTCTCAATCTTCTTAGCCTTCTGAGCATACTCCCTGAAAAGACAACTCTGTGGCAAGCAGGTAGTCGGCAATAATTAGGATTGTCACACTAGGCTTACTTTCTGACCTTCTCCTTCATCTGCTGGACAAGCTTCAGCTTCTCAATGTTGAAGTCCTCCATGGCCTTAGCTTCAATCTCCTCCGATTTGTCCTAAGATGAACGGCAATGCGACCAAGACGCAAACGATAATCAATGCGCTTACCTTCGCCTCATTGAGGATGAAGTTGACCATCTGCTGGATCTGCTTCTGGGCCTCAGCTGCGTCCATTGTTAAACTGGGGATAGATCAAAAAAGATATTACCTAACTTGAAGAAGGCGATGAGAAACAATCGATGGAAAACTCACGAGTTCAACGCAGCAATAACAGACGGTACGCTAATACACACAGGAGATCGAGTGCGCGAGTTAGACCAACAGTAGTATTTTAAACTTGCGCAGCGCGTCCGAAAAAGGTAGAATGAAGAATTTGCTATGCTACACCCCAAGAGTAGCTAGACAGAGAGTCCTACGCAATCAATGCCACATAAAACGATATACACAAAGTGATGAGTAGATGAAGTCAGTGAATGAATAAGTGAGCGATACAGAAAACATGAATTGAAGATACCCTACGAGCTTTACTGCGCACTACAGCCGCAAAGCTTGCTCAGCGAGGCTGAAATCGATCACGATGGCGTGCGCACTACGCTTCGAACTTGGTCATAACAAATTTTGTCACCCTTTGCACCCTCCTAATCAGATGAATGTTAGCTAGGGTCAGAGTGTGCTTGTCGCTGCAACGTTATCGTTACGCTCTACCAGCTAGGCAAGTGCGTAGGCGATCACTGTTAGCTCATCTAGAGCTACTTGTGGCATGATATGAAGTAGGTCAGAGTGCTGCATCGAAGCGGTATATCTCCAACGTTGGTTGGCGAAGCCAGCTAAATAGCATAACAATAAACAGTGAGTAACAGCTCGTCCTTCGTAAATCGAGTCTATATCGCCGTTCCGTGTAACCACCCAGATTTGTGTCGTTGTCTCCTTTGTAGAGCATGTTCGAGTTGAGACATTTGTTAACAGCTATTCATTGATGCCATTATCTTAATTCAATTCTAACAATCTGTTCCTGTTCTCATTGGAGTGGGCATCTGAGATGAGCCGAAACTCATTCACTCACACGACAAGATCGGTCGATACTGTCCACCGAATACCGAAGGACATTGAGATGGAAAAAGCAGCACATTTCAGTGGTGTTTATAACCTCACAATGTAAGCGAGAGTCTCTCACATAGGGGAAAAGAAGCTCAGTACTACTACTGCTGGCCACGAGCATCTCGTCCAAAAACGGCAGCAAAAGTGATTCCATTATGCCGTCTCTTATGGGTTGGGTTCAGATATTAGTTCATGTTTCTCGGGTGGTTAATATCGGTATAATGCCACGACGAATTGTCTGAGTTTTCTCGTTGCTAATCGGTGTGAGGCAGAGCCGTTACACTACTACTAGCATTGCATCATTCTGTACGAAGGTTCAGTTGGTTTCTCATTTGAACCATCGAAGTCTGCCCAGCATCCTCTTGAGGAGCACCTCATAAACTTGCCCGGCTCGAGACCCCGTAGTAGAGTTGGTAGTAGTAATCAACAACAACAGCAGTGGGCATAGCTGATGATAAAGCTGTAATAGAAGGTAGTGTTGCTGTCGATAGTCAGCCCGTTTGCTTTGCTCCAAAGG